CAAACAAAAAAAAAAACCAATCCAAGAAAGCATCTGAGTGTTTGGGAAACATTTAGAAGCTGCCAGTGTGGCATTTCTAGGTATTTCCTAAAACTCTGTTCTTTCCTTTGGTATCATTTTGCATGTTTAAAATCTTCTCAGTTCTCCCATTTGGCCTGGCACGGTGGCAGATGCCTGTAATCCCAGCACTTGGGAGGCTGAGGCAGGAGCATCGCTGAGAGTTCAAGGACAGCGTAGGATACATAGTGAGTTCAAATCAGCCTGAGCTGCATAGTGAGTCACTGTCTCAAAAAAAAAAAAAAAAAATCCCCATTTGTTATTTGTTCTCTGTGCCTCTACCAGCCCAAATGTGAATTTTGGGTGGATTCTATGCAGAGAAGGATATATTCAACACCCTCATGGCCTAGGAATCCCTTAATTAAAATAAGCAATGCTCCAGAATAACCCCATAGCCTTACATGTCCTATAATGGTAGTCTCTTCGTCACCAATAGAAAACTAGACTTACAAGCCCTGTCCTCTCTTCCCCATGCTATCACAGATCAACTGCCCTTTGCCCAGTGGAGGTTAAATCTCAACATGGGAGATTTTTTGGTTAATGCTTTCTCAGTAACAATCCCGAGAAGATAACGTTCATTTGGACTCTCCCAGTCGCCCGGTTCCATTTCCTCTCCAGGTTCAGAGCCTTGCTCTCCACAGCCTGGGCTCCCAGTACAGCTGCCCGCCAAATCCCAGTTCTACGTACCTTAACTTACCTGGCCATGCCTGGTGCTCCCACACCCGGGACTCTGAAGCCACAGCAAGCTTTCTGCCTTATTAGCACATAAACTGGAGGCTCCGTGCTGTGAAGAATTCCTTTCATTTTAAGGCTGTGTGGCTTCCTTGTCCCCTTTTTCCAAACTTTTACTGTGGTTCCTTTATCTCCCTGCTCTTCCGACCTATCCGGTCACAGGGTTTTTTTTTTTTTCCCCTAGAGCTTCCCTGTGGTCTAATTACATAATAAAACTTCAAGAATATACTTCGACAATTGTTAGTAAATTTACAGTTGTGCGGTCACTGCCACAATTTAACACATTCCCTTCACCTCATTCTGGTTTCTTTGCAGCAACAGTGGGGATACCTGGAACATCTCTTGGCCTCTCCTGCAAGAGATGAGCTCAGGAACAGTTCATTCAAAGGAAGAGATTTCTTTGCTGCCCCCTCCAAAACCCGACATTGCCCCTAGACTTAGGCGCCTGTCACAGCCTTGGCCTTGACCCCTAGGAGTGTTTTCCTGAAACACACAGCGAGAGGACACACTGAAGCTCACTCAGGCCTCACACTGGTCCACATGGCTTTGCATGTGAAGTTGTCCGTTGTGTGTCTCAGTGGAATAGGGGTGAGGAGGAATCTCCTGGGAGTCAGAATGCTGCCACCTATGAGCCATGTGTCATCAACAAACTAACCTCTGAGAGCCTGTTTCCTCACATGTAAAATAGAAATCAAAATAGTACACTCCATGGGGTTGATGGAAGAAATGAATACACAGGTCCCTCAGTTCCATGGGAAAGTGGTTTCTTTCAGGACCTCATGGGAACCCAAAATCTATAGATGCTCAAATCCTTCATATAAACTGGTCTAATGCTTAGATATACATTGCACGTTTCCTTTAAATCATCCTTCATTTATTTAATATCTAATACAAGGAAATGCCACATAAATATTTGTTATACTGTGTTGTCCAGGGAATAACGGCAAGATGAGTCTGTTGGTGTTCCATGAAGATACCCTCTTTTCTCCTTAACTCAAGGAGATCTGTCATGTTCTTGGAAAGTCCAGAAAGTACCAGTCACATTCAGCACTTTATAAAGGTTACCCGCCATCTTCAGGAAATTAATCAAATTTCCACAGGAGGCTGCTGCCTTTCCCCAGAATAAATGGGAACTCCCACCATCCATGATGCCCGTGACGGTCCCACAGGAAGCCCCTGGATGCTAAGAGCAGGGAGACACAGGTGGGAATCCTGGGGAGAAAAACTCCAGAGCGTCACAAGTAGGGAGAGAGAGAAGAGAAGCAGCTGAATGAAAGCCCAAGAAGAGGAGGGGCAGGAGGAAGACCAGAAAACCAAGGGGCAGGGCCAGGGGGTGGGGGGCGGGGTAGGTCAGGGCGCAGCTGGAGACGGAGATGAGGGCAGGGCGCAATTGGAAGAGGAAGCTTCTGAGGAGCCTGGGTCTTTATGTGCTCCGTAAAATCTGCAGTTCTCTGTTCTGCACAGAGAAGAGCCACGCCCAGATGCTGGAATGTAATAATAAAATTTGGAGCTAGAGAGCCACAGGCCAGGCCTGACTTTAGGGTCCATCCAGCTATTTGCTATTTGCCCCCAAACTGCTTTGGCTCTGCCTGCATCATGGAGAAACACCTGTATCGTGTCTGTAGGTCCTGCGGGAGGCTTCTGGGTCCCAGCTGCAGCAACTGGAGAACATTTGGGAACAGCCTGGTACAGTGATGTCCCTCCAGGTAGGGCTGCTTCCTTTGTGCTGTACGTGAGGAGCCACATGCTGCCGCAGAGAGGGACGGACCACGGGCGTTGGCATTGCTGCTCACGGTTTGGGCATCGGTCTTCTGACCCCCCCCCCACCGCTCAAACAAGTAGCCATCCTTTATAAACACGCAACACACACTGGGTTTTAATGAGAAAATAACTGTATACTTGCATTGAATGCCTCACAATCACTATAAAACCGAAGCAGGATAATAACATTTAAGTGGTTAACATACACAGGAAAGCCAGGTACAGAGTATAATTGTCAAACACAGTATTGCTCCTTTTTTTTTTCCCTCCTCCAATAAAAAAAAAGAAAGAAAAAGTCATCTAGGTAAAGAGCAACACAAAATCAAAACTGGCAGCTCACCGAGGGTTTAAAATTCAGGAAATGGGTTCTGTAACTGAAACCGGATATACTCACCATCTCTAACACGGATGCTATTTGTTTTTCAATATATAGTTTAAATCCATTCTGTAGTTGGAAAAAATGTTTAAGAGTCAACATTGTTTTAGTGTTCCTTGTTATGCTTTATATATGTGTGTGTTCATATATATATATATATATATATATATATATATATATAGACACTGATCTATATACTGCTTCTATGTCATTGCCGAGGGTGGGCAGCATGCATGGGAATAAAGAGGCAAGGAAATTGCACTGTGTCTTCCAAGTAGAACACAGCCCGGCCTCCTGCCACTGACAGACCCTGTTTCCATAACTTCTGAATGAGAAAGCCAAGGCATGTCAGCAGTTAATCGGCTCTGGAGGAAAATGAATGTCCATAAACACTGCATTATGGAATAACACTTTTGGGAAGGCTTCACATCTACATAATCTAAATGTCTGTTGTAGTTGAGATTAACAAGCTCGCGCGTGCTATTGGAGGGTGGGGCTGAACCTCAGAGGCAAAGTCATTCGGAAACTTCTTTGTCTCTAGGGATTAGGCAGGAAGGACTCTTCCGTGGGTGTCTGTCCCATCTTCAGAAAGCTACAGGGGTTCATGTGGGATCCTAGAGCCTAGCACAGTGCTATGTCCAAAGCAGTGGCCCAATGTGTCATGAATGATAAAAATCTCAAGAGACAGAAAACCTGGCTCCCCCAAGGGAACTGTAATTCCCATTTTATAGGAATAGAATGGGAGTATCGGGGAGTAGAGCAAGGAAACAGACAGCAAAATCCCGAAGGCAGTTTAGGGGAACTAGCAAAAGTTGGAAATGTAGAACAGCTTGGTAACTGGGGGAGGAATCACAGAAATCTTAAATTCGTTTCCTCTTTAATACATGGAAAGTGGCCCCGCAGGACCCCAGGCCTATAACTCTGTTATTCCTTGAGTCATGTGTGCTTCTGGTTCAACCAAGTATAATCAAAGACCACTTCGTCTGCCTCCAAAGCGATTCCATGAGCTGTGTGGCTTCCTAACTTTTCCTTCCGCTGCCAATTTCCTTCTCAAGGGTAGCTTTCATGTACTTATGAGGTTCCCTTCCAAACAGAACAAGAAGGGTTAAGTCCTGAGGCTGGTCTCCTCCTGTGGGAAATGGGGGAGGTGGTCTGCATCACACCTGTGGTCTCTAGCAGATACATGAGTCCACCCAGAAAATACGAAGCACACTTTACTTTGTGTGCATCCCACGGACCTCTCCTGCTCCCAGCCTTCCTCATCCCAGCGCCTGGGGCCGCACAGTGCTGCTGCCTCCTCTGTTCTCCTCTGTGAGTCTCCCTGTGGACCGCGTCATCGCTGTGCCTTCAGCCCGGGCACCTGGGACCTCCAGCTGGAAACCCTCAAAGGTAGACAGTCCTCTCCCCCAGTGCTCCCCTTTCATTGGGCAGGACTTCTAACACGGGTGTTATTTTTCTGGGAATGTTTGTCTCCATGCCAGCCTCCCTCACTATCAAATGAATTCCTCGAAGCAGGGATCTTACTTGTTTTGTGTCCCAGTGACTAGCATTTTGCTGACTCTTCCGGAGACCCAACCATCTAGAGAAGACCAACTGCCCACGTGCAATTTTGGCCACTGTCTGCAGAATCTGGCATCAAATTACAGGTTCCCTTGGCAGCTTCTTTGTAAAACAATTCCATCACTGCACTTAGTACTTAGCACTTCTCTGTAAATAAACTTTCCCCCAAAGTCAGCACTAGTCTAATAGAAAAGCAAACATAATGAGCGTAATACTACATACAAACTCGGTAGAATTGCTACTTATTAGAATAACATATTGGAGCTTACGACATAACAATATGAAAACAAATATGAATTTTAGTGAGGTCTGATTTAATTATTGCTTTGTTTAAAAAACCATAACTTTAAAACAAAGGGAAAAATAATGAAGGTTGGTTAGTTGTTTTCTTTTCTTTTTTTTTTTTTTTTTT